CTCTCTGATTGGTCCAAAAACTGTTGGGGAGGAATTGTGGTTTAAACTTAATTCTCCCAAGATTGGTCCTTCAGTCCGTCCATCCTCCAGTCATCCTCTCTGATCCAATGGTTGTAGATAACACCCTAAAAAGGGAGGAATACTTGCCCTGTCTTAATTCTTACATAGACACCTATCCTTTCTTTGTTACCAAGAGACACATGGCTTCCCGTTTGGCTAATTAAACTGTCTTGCCTGTGTGTGTCTGTATATTGCCCTGTCTTTTGAAGTTGTCTTCCTCTTGTTGGCTTTTAGATCTAATCTCTTGTTTATTACCCTTAGTGTCCCAGTGACCCCAAATTCCCTGGCCTCTACAGCCAGGTGGTGATCATAAAACAACTGTGGACCCTCTTTGCTAAAGCTGTAAATCTAATGTGATTCAGTGTTTTAGTGAATCAGTCTCCCTTGATGTTAAACAGTGCCCCAGTTGGCTAACACAGTAAATACTGGCCAATACTTCAGTGGATATCATTGAAGACAATGATATACTCAACTATGTAAACATAATTGTAACATATAAGTAAGCAAACTTATGTGTGCTCTAATCTAAATCTTAACTATGACAGAATTACCATACACAAAGTAAACACACTGGTTGACTACTCAACAAGCATAATGTTAATCTTCTACTAATTAAGTTTTTAATTCATAAAATATTAGAATCAACCTTAAAGTATGCCTTGTTAATAATTTTACCCAACAGCGCCTGGGATATTGCAATAAACTTGATCCAGGATATTATTGTCCCTGGTTGGAAAGTTGATGAATCTGTAGAATCTGGGGAAACACTGCTTTAAGTTACACACGGTTAAAGTCTCCAGCCACAATCACAGCCGTTTCTGGGTTTGCATTCATCTGCCTGCTGATCAGGCAGTACAGCTCCTCCAGTGCTAATTTAGCATTAGCTTGCAGTGGTATATAGACGGCTACAATCAGGATTGAGCAAATCTCTTTCACTGTTTTAAAAGGTCTGCATTTCACTGCCAGATATTCCAAGTCAGGGGAGCAGTGTGTTCCAATAATGCTCGCAGCTGTGCACCAGAAGTTGTGGATGTACAGCGCCAGACCTCCGCCTCTCTGTTTAGCAGATACTGCAGCCCTGTCTGCTCGAAACAAGGAGCATCCCTTCAGCTCCACCGCAGCGTCCAGGATGTTGTCATCCAACCAGGTTTCAGTTATAATCGCTACCAAGCTGTCCATCCTCCATGAGACGATCCGCAGCTGAATGTCATCCATTTTGTTGGTTAGTGACCTGTCGTTTGTGGGGAAGAGACTAGGGAGCGCTGGCCTGTGTGGGCTAGCATGTAGCCTAGTGCACATGCCGCTCCTCTTACCCCGCTTTTGTTTATGGTGTCACCTCCATCTCCTAGGCCACAAAGGGGGGGATGTGAGAGCTGTAGTGGTCCAGTGTAACTCTGGTGGAATAAAGTCCGGCTTCGTGGATGCATAAAGTTCGTATTGTTTCCCAATACTAAGTAGTTCAGCTCTTCCATACTAGATGGTGAAAACTGTAGTGACAACAAAGATAGGTATAAAAAAACAAAAAGCTGAGAGCCTCGAGCCGCTTGCGTGCGTACGCACCGCCATCTTGGACTATACCAGTGTGAATATTGTACTTTTACTCACTAAGTGGACGCAAACATGACACCAAATGAATATTGATTTTGCTTTCTAACTGCTGGATGTGGAAATACTGTAAGTAAGTAAGTAACCATGTGCTAATAAGTTCATCCATATAACTGGTAATGATGAGTCAGTGTTTCTTGTTTCCACTGCCCCAAAGTGATCAAAAAATCAGTTGTTTGAAGTTTAGGCTTAACTAAAAGTATTCAGAGACTCTTACATCAGGATACTCTTCACTGACTACAGCTCTGCCTTCAACACAGTTGTCCCCCACAAACTCACCCACAAACCGTCCACACAGGGTCTGCACCCCACCCTCTGTGACTGGCTCCTAGACTTTGACTGGCAGGCTCCAGACTGTCAGGATTGACAATAGGATTTCAGCCAGCATTGTTACAAACACTGGCACCCCACAGGGATATGTCCTCAGTCCCATCCTCTACACCCTGTTCACCCACGACTGTGTCACGCATCCTCAGCACCCTCTACAGCTGCGTCATTGAGAGCATCTTGACTAGCTGCATCGCTGTCTGGTATGGCAGCACAACTGCTATGGACCGCAAGCACCTGCAGAGAGTGGTAAAGACTGCAGAGAAGATCACCAGGACTCCACTGCCCTCTCTGCAGAGCATCTACTACCGCAGGGTGCGTAGTAAAGCTGCCTCCATCTTCAAGGACCCCACCAACCCCCAGCACAGACTGTTCACGTCTCTACCCTCCGGTCGGAGGCTCAGAAGTGTGAAATGCAGGACCTCTAGACTTTCTAGATTTCACTTGTATTGTGTGGCATTCATGTGGGCGGGAAAGTAAGAATTTCAGGGAAACACCGTTCCTAACTGTGCATATGATAAACACTGTAACCTTGACCTTTGACCTTCAAATGTGTGTTTTCCAGGTGCAGGCCAGCAGTGGAGATTTGAGGTACGCAGGGCCACTTGACTGTGCAGTCAGGCTCTACAAAGAGCAGGGTATCCGTAGTGTCTACAAAGGGACTGTGCTTACTCTTGTAAGAGGTACAGTATAGTTACCTGTGGCTTTTGTGTGTGTATACCTTGGGGGGATTAGACAAAAGGCCTTTATATCTGACCGTTATGTAACTTCCAACCGAGTTGGTGAGGTAAATACATTTTAACTTTGTTTATAAGTGAGATTGCTGAATCCAAAGGGCAGCTTGGATTTTGAGGTTTATGTTTGCACTTCTTTCTCTCTGTCTGTATCTTAGATGTACCTTCTAGTGGTCTGTACTTCCTGACATATGAATACCTCAAAAATGTCCTGACACCTGAGGGTCAGAGGTGAGTAACCCATGATTACAGTGAAGATGTTTATAAATAAAAAAATTAAAATGAAATAAAATTAAGTATCTTATAAATGTTTAAAGTTTCAGCTTGATTGTATGTGCATCTACACAGTAAAAAGTCCAGTGTTGATTTGACTCTCACAGTTGATTTTAACTCTATTTCAGAGTTTATATAGCTCCATAGTTAAATTAACACTTTTGAAATAGTTAAATATTTAACACTTTTTCAGAGTTACCTTTTTTATCTCATAAAAGTGTTAAGGAAACACCAAGAGGGATTCAAATTAAATATGGCTGCATTTGGGTTGCATTTGAGTTGCATTTGGGAGTGGTAGTGTCACTGTTCAGTGTTAACCTATGTACTTTAAAATGTGTTAAATAAAATCCACAGACA